AAATTCATATTCGTCGTGTATTACAAAAACTTAGAAATACAAGATTGTATGCCAAGATGAAAAAGTATGTATTCTATACTACTCAAGTTGACTTCTTAGGATACATCATTTCAAACAATAGTCTAATGATGGATCCTAAAAAAGTTCATACAATCATAGACTAAAAGATTCTAAAAATAGTAAAAAATATATAATACTTTTTGAAATTTACTAATTATTATCAGATCTTCATTAAGAACTTTTTTCAAGTTGTAATGCCACTTATATGCTTAACATGTAAAGACGAGTTCGAGTCAAATAAAGAAGCAAAAGCATCATTTGAAGCTTTGAAAAAAGCTTTTACTTCTATACCAATCCTCCATTTAGTCGACTTCTCCAAAGCATTTTTTATAGAGACAGATGCATCTGACTTTGCTTTAGCTACAGTCTTGTTATAAATAGGAGTAGATGACAAACTTCACCTAGTATCTTTTTATTCAAGAAAATTTTCAACAACGAAGATTAATTATGTGATCTACAACAAGGAACTTCTTGCAACTGTGGATTCTTTTCAAGAATGGCATCATTATTTAGAAGGTGCTTCAAGTCTAGTCAATGTGTATATGGATCACAAGAACCTTGAGTATTTTATGTCAACATGTATTTTGAATCGTCGTCAAGCTTGTTGGAGCATGTCTTTGTTGAGATTCAAGTTCAATATCACTTAACAGCTAGGAAAACAACAAGGTTTGTTTGATGTCCTTTCTAGATGTTCTTATCTTACACCTAAAGAAGGAGAAGCAGCTTTTGACCAACAAAAGATAATTTTATTGAAGCTAGAACAATTTCATTTATAAGCAATGAAATCAACATTGACTGTTGATTTGATTTTTTTCAAGCAGATCCAAGTAAATATGTCCTCAGACCTTCTTCTTCATGATATTAAAAATAATTCTTCTAAGTCTCAAGATACTTCCAAGTTTGAATTTAAAGAAGACCTATTTTATTTCAAAGGATGCCTATATGTTCCAAAAAGAGAAGCACAATTACGTACTCTTGATACTTATCACAATTTTTCTATAGCATGACATTTAGAATATAATAAGACTTTGGAGCTTATATCTAAAGATTTTCGGTGGCCTCAAATATAGAAGATTGTTAAAAAATTTGTGCAGATATGTGATGTTTGTTTAAGTTCAAAAACTCCTTGTCATCGACCTTATAGCCTCTTTGAATGATTACCTATACCAGAATAACCATGGTCTTTTGTCTCTATGGATTTTATTACAAATCTTTCAATATCAAGTTCATATGATTCTATATTCGTGAGTGTAGATTGTTTCACCAAGATGACACATTTTTTACCATATACAAAATCTATCACAAGTGAAAGAACAGCTAAATTCTTCCTTGATAATATCTATTGCTATCATATATTATTAAGGGATATTATATCAGATAGAGTAATACAATTTTTATCAAGATTTTGGAGAACTCTTTTCGAAATATTGAAGGTGGATATAAAACTATCTCCAGCTTTCCCCCCTCAAACTGATGGACAAATAAAATGGATAAATCAAGTTTTACAGTAGTATTTGAGGTGTACCATCAACTATCAACAAGATGATTGGACAACTCTTTTGACATTGGCAAAGTTTGCTTACAATAATTTGAGACATTCTTATAGTCAAAAAACATCTTTCTTTGCCAATTATGGTTATCATCTATGATTTGACACTTTTGACTTTTCAAAAGTTGATAATCTTATGGCAGAAGATATAGCAAATCAATTGTCAAAGCTACATGGAATAATAAAGACACAATTAAAGGAAGCTCAAGAACGAAAAAAAGCCAATACAAATGTCCATCAAAAGAAACAACCTCAATTCCATGTGGGAGATAACATATGGTTACTTTGTCGTAATATTAAAACTATTTATCTTTATGACAAGCTGGATTATTATAGGCTTGAACCATTTTCTATTTGTGAATAGATTAATCCAATTGCTTATTAATTACATCTACCAAAGTCTATGAAAATCCATCCTATATTTCATGTGTCTTTACTTGAGCTATACAAGACAATGGATATACAAGAAAGGACACAAATGCCACAACTTCTTATAGAAAAAGACAATAATGAAGAATTTGAAGTGAAAGAAGTCTTAGATTCAAGGCAACACCGAAATAGGTTAGAATATCTAGTACATTAGCATGGATATGACATTAATGAATGCTTATGGGAGCCATACAAGAATCTAACAAAATCATCAATCAAAATTAAAGCGTTTCATCAATGACATCCATCAAAATCAAGATGAAGAGTCAAAAAAATCTTTGCTAAAAAAAAAAAATAAGCCCAATAGAGATTTCATTCTATCTTGTATCATTATTTTTTTGGATTTTTTAGTGCTTAAGAGATGGAAAACCAACAATTAGCAGATTCAACTTAAGAGCTATCATTTGCTGAGCTACTAGATGAGATATTGTGACTATTACAACCTTTAAGATGGTAAAATTAAGATAAAGATCATCAAGAACGATATGTTCTTTCTCAAATAGATGGCGAGATACAATGTGTTTGGAACCACGAATTTAGAAGGGACTCTTAGTGTTTAGTGATACTTTTGGAGGTAGTAACCATTCTTGATGGAATTACTAATGCTTTGTTTGAAGGAAGTTATAAAGGCCTCAATAATAATCAAATATTAGGATGGTCTTTTTGCCTTGGTATGGGATATTATCGATGGTTGAAGGGACTATCAACTACCTTCGAAGGAAATAAAGATTAGAGTATGTAGTAAGTACAGCTCGATGCATCTTGGACTTCATTAATATGTAATCACTGCTCCTTGTGGAACTTGTCCTTTGAAAGGAGGATAATGTCACAGACATACATATTTATCTTGATAATAAGAATAGGTAGAAGTAAGTCAAAGTAAATAAATATGATAATATCTTAGAGAAAGCTTTCTAGAAGCTTCATAGATGCTGCTTTGCCTTTATACATGTCTATAAGTGATTAGTAGGTTGAAAACTTGGCCAACAAAGAGGCCACGTGTTGACATGTTGACCACTTGTAGTACAAGTTGGACATATGGCACACACCTAGGAAACTTGCGTTACAAATTAGACATGTGTCCTATAAGTTGGATGTATATTAGAGGTCCTATAGCATGTCGACATGTATTTCTTAGTTAAGTAGTATATATAGAAGCAAGAGTGAGGCCTTCCTCACTTTTGTCAACTCCTTTCTTACTTTTAGTCTAGTTTCAAGAGTCTTATGTTTTCTAATCCTTGGCAATAGCCATTCCAGTTCTTCCTTGAATATACATACTTTCTTGTACTTTGTCACTTTCCTTTTGATATAGAGTCTACGAGTTTATGCATCTTCTTCTAGTTTGTATTGTTGACAGAGCACAAGGTAAATAAAGTTAAGGTAGTAGAATTAGTTAACAATCTTTGTGCATTAATATATCTTCTTATATATCAAATTAGCTACATAACAAAAGTCTTCTTATGTATTATAGGTCTAAATTATCTGTCTTTTTATTTGAAAAAAAACTTTGACAATATGATGTGTTTTTCTTTGGATTTTCTTTTAAATAGAATTATTCAATATTTTAACTAATTTATATTTATATATGATTTTTTTATTAAATAGTGATATTAAAAAACAATATTTTTCTATGACCATATGTCATAAAGAAGTATTTAAGATTTCTTCTCTAATTTTATTTTTTTATTTCTTTATTTTTTATAGATTGAAGCATAATAAATTCTAACTTTTGTTTACTCTAATATATTGTTGTTTTGAAAAAAAAAAAATATTGTAAAATTATAGTCATCCATTATTTACTATAATCACATAGAATTCCATCTTTATTTTTATTTTTTTAACAACAAAGATATAAGGATTAGAAATGCTTACAAAATCATTTATTTAGATGATGTATTTGAATTTATTTTTAGAAATTTTTAGATGAGCATTCCTATTTTATTATCAACTTTATTTCGTTAATTTATTAATATATATATATATATATATATATATACACATACATACATATATACATTCTTAGTTTCTTTTGCATCAAAAAATCATCAAAAAATATTATCATCAAATTTAGAGCAAATTGGAGCTTAGAAATTATTCTAAACAAAATCCTCGTTTAAAATCTTGATTTTGTAATTTATAAAAAAAAAATTGTGTTATAATAGATATAAAAGATATATATACATATATGTTACTTACCATAATAATTTTTCTTGAATTCATTAAAAAAATTTAAGTACTAAAATCGTTTTAGTATCTTCCATTGTGATGTTTACAACTTTTCCAACTTTATTAAGATTTAAAGCCATAAATTCAAAATTGTCCCTCTCACATAGAAGAGGGGTAGGATACAGTTGGTAAAATGCCTTAGCTTTCCAAAGCCTTATTCCTACATCAGACATGATAATCAGAATGTCATATTCGTACCTGCAATATGTATCATGGTCAATGGTTGATGGAGCACTGAGCAAGTTGACACTACGTCAAAATAGCAACACACAAGACACAAACTTAGGGCACGCATTTGCAGGCATCTTTGTTACAGTGTGCAGAAAAAGCATATCTAAGGCATGCTGCCACCATCAGGCTAGTTACATCAGAAGTCGCTTGGAAATGTGGATTCCACAGAACTTCAGCAGCTCAAACATTTGTAGATACAAGCCCGACAATCGTATACTACCCTTGCTAAACTGAAAATAGTGTCTAATTTTTCGTTTCTTCAGGAACTAATACTCGCTACCGGAGAGATCACTTAAGAATGCTTCAACTTCCGAGTTCCAAGATATTAACCGTCTCTCTTGCTACACTCAATGCTGGGCTCTGAATTATGTGTTACATAGGTAGGAAGCATTTATGTAGTAGTTAGAGGACGCCTCTCAAGGCCCCAATCAATAAACATCACGAAATTAAACTAAGAACCAAATGACTGATTGATACCAATCCATAATCATCATAGGTCAAAAAATATGGGAAATGTTTTTTGATTTTATAACACGCAATTATTGGGAAGCACAATGTTGACAATACTCTGCTTGTTCAAGCACTGCTTGTTCGGAATCATGTTGTATGCTAGCTCCACGTGCAGCTACAAATCTGTTCATGCTTCATTATTGCGCAGGAATGTCAGGGCCTGCTGGGTTTGGACCTCTACAGCACACCGAAGCAGATTGAATTCTTTTACAGCTCTATGGTACTCTTTTTATGTACCCAAATGCAGCATCCCAAACACGATTCCTCTTGAGACAAAAGGGTGGACCCTACTTGTCATCCTTCTTGGAGCTACTGGAAAAATACCAATACCCCAGAGCAGCCGCCCCAACAACTCCAGCGATTAGCCCATAGTTAGCACCGGCGCCACTTGTTGCGTCACTTGTTGTGCCACTGGTTGCTGTTTCATTGATTGCTTTCACGGCTTCAGGATGAGCATCTGGGTGCCCTTCGACGGCTTTCTTGGCTTCCTCTGCTGAAAATCCCTGCAGAAACCGAAGATCATGATAGATGTGCATCCGGTAAAGGGAGGAGAAACGGGAGACACGAACAAGAACTCAATGCCATTCAAGAACACGACGAATAATTCATGACAGGTACCTTTGCAGCAAGCTTCTCCAGCTTCGCCTTCTCCATTTTCTGTCAAAAAGTGGGAATTGCTTTAAAGAAGATAAAGAAAACAAAACATCTAACCGGATGTATCGAGAAATCGATACAACGGAAACAAGAACAAAACCTTGAAAATTCTAGGCCCTTAAATCCTGAAGGAATATAATATACCAATAACAAGAGACCTTAGACGAGGTCTGTTGTCCTATTCAACACAAGCAGCCTGCTTGATAATGCGGACAGAAGATTCTCTTACTTTCTGAATGCCAACTGTTTGCAACCAGTACGTTGCAGAATACATATACAAATAAAATGCTACCGACACTTAAATCAATGTAAAAAAACAAGGAATTCAACGTTACAAGACAGTTCCAATCTAGACATAAACGGTACATGCAGAATTCTTCAATCAATATCATAGATAAATCTAGCTCGTATTACAAAGCGAAATCTAGCTAATCATCGCAATCAACTTCAACCAGACACCGCATATTACAAATATCGTGACACAACAATACAGTTCCATGGTTTGTATCATTTTCGATCAGCCAGTTTGAATCTTCCGCAACATACTAGCGCCAACAAGAATCACTCTACGACAAAAACGAGTACCAATACACACATCTATGAAGACGCCAAGAACGGCGTACACTAGCCACAGTGCGCTAGAGAATATTCCTAGGAGATTACTAAAATGAAGTAAGAAACCCACACCAAACACCATCACATCGCACAGACCTTGATGTAGATATTCTCCGCTGCCTTCTCCTCTTCCTCAAACATCTTTCCGCCGCTCATACCTCGGCGCTGGGCAGATCTGGCCAACAAAGCATCACCTGTAGGGTTCACCAACCTGCGAGCCATCATCCTCATCGCCATTGTGTCTGTTTGAGCAAAAACCCACTTCGCTCAGCGCTCCAAAACCACACACAGAATGGCCCAATTCGTGTAAACCCAGATTGAAATTGTGACCTCGCGACAACGTGCACAACCGCGTAGTTAAAAAACAACGATTCCTCCGACGAGCTGGAGACGATGGAGATAAACGTGTGCAGCAAAAGGGGACGATGCGTGATAAGGAGACGCGTGTCGCAGCTGGCTCGCGCCTGACCGCTTACTGCTGTCGGAACCAGTCAGCGTGAACGGCTCGCACGCGGTGAAGGGCCCCTTAGACCGGTTATAGACGGTCGCCCATCAACGGTCAAAAACTGAGAAGGCCACGGTGCCTGGAGCTCACATTTTGGGAACATGAGTCCCTTTCGTGGAGTCCAGAGTTGGGAACGTCGAGTTCGCCACTTTCAGAATAATTGTTCCCTTTCAATAACGTTCTAAGCCATTGGGAACGTGTAATGGCCAATAAACAAATAGCCAACATTGACACTGTTGCCTTAACACATCGTCTATTTCGAAAAAAATTTAAAGTTGTTACTAATTTTTTTGATGAAAGAAAGAGTGGAATGTGTGCTAGGTGAAAACTTATACTAATTCCAATTGGATGGGTTCAAGAATTGTAGCAAGCTTGAAGAAGTTTTGTATAAAATAAACAGTGTCAATGATGGCAAAATCTCAAGAGCATTGAGGACAGCTATAGAATGCAAGCTAAAATAAAAGCCATAGAACACTATTAATTTTTTGAAAATTGTATCTAGATACATGTACATATTAAGTGTGATTTTTTTGTAGAATTGTTTTGATTTTTTTTTTAAAATTAATAATGTCTTTGTAATTATCTTATAAAAAGTATATATATATATATATACTTATAGTATATAATAATATAATCAAAATAAATTATAATAAAAAATTATGTAAAAAAAAATTGTAATCTAAAATTGAATTTCTTCTTTTGCAATTAGAAAATTTATGTATTGAGTGTTGTATATGTTCCAATCACCTTCTACTATGCAACTATATTTTTATAAATTTGCATACTTAATAATATGTTATAATCTATTTTGTTTTATTTGCTATATTGGTCATGTATATATTAATTATTTTAAAATTAATAATATATTTATTATTAAATATTATCCATAAAAATAAATAAATAATATTCAAAATAATTTAATGAAAAACTTAATAAAGAAATAAAAATTTACAAAGCACTTTTTTGGTACTATCTTCTAATTAAAATACTGTTGTTTATTTCTTATGGACATACAGTCTTTTAATTCATTTTTAATTACTATTAATTCTTTATATTTCATATCCAATTTAATCTACTATATTGCTACATTTTATAAAAAACTAACAACTTTATAATAGAACATTAGTTGTGCGCATCTATACATCTACACATTTCTTGGACTAATTGAATTAGCCAATTGTATGTTTCAATTATTCCTAGCTAATTGCTCTATAATCACTTGATATACTAGAAGGTAAACTTGTTTCTTGCCAATTAAAATATTTATACTAGTAATAAAAAAATATTTATTAAAAAAAAGAAGATCCTTGATTAATTCTTTATTTATAAATAAATTTAAATAAAATAATTTTCTTATATCTACACCAAACTAAATGTGAGATTTTGGATGCTTTAATATATATATATATATATATATATATTTAGAATACATTTCTATTGTGTTTTAAAGTTATATGAGGTTTTGAATTTTAAGGTGGTGGTTGTAACAAATTAAATCTATCTAAAAATCTACTTTAGAATGTATGTAACCAAACCACAACTCTATACCTAAGTCAACACAAATTTTCTCCAAGATTGTTCTATCAAACTTCTATATATTATGGTTGCTCAATTATAATAAATTCTACTTCAAAGTATCTTCAACAACATTACATCAGACTTATCTACCAATATTTTTAATACCAATACAATATCAAAAATCAACAATTGATATAACATCTATGTAACAAATGTAAAAAAATTATGTTGAAATTTTGAGCTACTTATATGTTAGTTTAATGGTTTGTGTTTCACAATCATATGCAATGATATCTTGGAGCATGAATATAACTTGTATGAAATTAGAGCTATCAATGTCTACTAAATTGTATATGAGATTTTGGATGTATACACAAATCAAAAAAGGAATCAATGCCAAGGACTTTAGAATACAATGCCATTGGAATTTTGAATCAAGTAAAACCAATGCCAAGGACTGACTTTAGAATACAATGCCATTGGAATTTTGAATCAAGTAAAACTAATGCCAAGGATTATAGAATGTGGTGCCATAGTAGTTCATAATCATGCAATAGTACTTTATTTCTATTTCAATTCCAGAATGTCACTTTCAGAATTTCTTCCATCAATATGCAATTTATGAACTTGCTGCTCAAAGTAGTGCAACAGAAATTTCACTTGTAAATTTTAGTAGGTTATTCATGTTCAGTTCCAGATTTTCACATTTCCGTCACTGTTGAAGTGTTTGTTTCTAAGTATGCCAATTTACTATAACTAGTTAATAGAACCATCAAATAGAGTATCTTCAATTCTTATTCCAATCACCAATGGCACTACCATGCATGCTTTCCCACGCAATATTAAAAGAAACCAAAATCCCTACAAACAAAAATTCCTCAAATCCAGCCATCCACACACGCACACACATCAACAGAAGAAAAGTCAAGAAAGAGAGAAGAGACTCAAATCATGGTTCCCTGAAATTCAAATCACGTGATCAATGGATTGTTTTGAATTGAGATATGTAAACAACTCAGTATACATTCAAGGTCTTCTCTTCAATTTGTTCTTCACAAAAATGTCGCACAGAAGTTGACGTCTTCTACACTTACCGTCGAAAGCTGCAAAAATTGCGCAATTAGAACACGGTTAACCAGGTTCAGGCCGAATTTGCGAAGGTTGCTGGAAAAACCTCGAGAACTGACGTGGTAACTCAACTTCTCACAACGGGAGGACAATCGTTGATGAACAAGCTAGGTATAACAGATACCCGAGTACTGTACATTATCACTGAGTTGAGGATAATCAACAACTCTGAACTTCATACCCTCTTCATGCTCGAGTGAATCTCAACTAAGCCTCCATTCCTTGGTTCCTAGAAATGAGAAAGCTTGGCAAAAGTGACTACTCGCAGCTCATTCCTACACAGAATGATCCGAAAATCCCATGGACTTGTTTCAAAATACTGGAATTCTTGATGTCCCAGGTGACCCACGCGCTGGAATTGAACAAGGCATCATCGAATAAAATAAAATTTTACACCAATGGTGAGAAAAAATCTAGAGGACAATCAATTTACACTCCAGAATGCCGCCGATTCCTCGTTGGCCTTGATACAGAGTCATTGCTGTAGCTCGACCCAGAATCATAATCTTTCCTGTGGTGGTGCTTTTGATGACTTCTGCGATGCGGCTTGCGGTGGTGGCCAGAGTGGTGGTCAGAGCTGTGCTTGTGGCTGCCTGAGAGGGATTGACGTGGGGGATCTTTGCTGTGATGGTGATGCGGACTGTGGTGGCTACGGCCATGGTGATCGTCTGGACTCCGGTCCCTGTGATGGCTGCTGCTGCGGTGCTCCGAGGAGACATCTCTGTGCCGGTGGTGAGATCCGTGTCCGCTGCGACCGTGAGAGCTCCCTCGGTGACTGTTAGGATCCTCGGAACCGTCTCTGTGATGGTGGCGATTACCAGAGCTCGTGTTTCGATGTCGATGGCGTGGGTTGCTACGGGTGCTGGAATGAGAAAGATCGCTAGAAACGGAGACAGTGTCGGAATCCTTGACGGAACGGCGGCCATGATGAGAGTCAGGTGGCGGAGTAGAAGCTCGATGCTGGCTACGAGACTGATGTCCAAGTCGGAGGTCGGGATTTCTGGGCTTCCTCTGCTGATGGAAAGAACTGTTATCTTTCTGAACCTCTGAAGATTCAGAAGGTGTGGACTTCTCAGCTTTCGAGGAAGAAACACTATAGGCCACGCTCTGACCCTGCAGTGGCTTATCCTTCGAATTAGCTTGATCTAAAATCCCGATGACCTTGAGAAGTCCTTCTGGAGCAGTCTGGACTTGCGGAACGGGTTCCCCCTTCGAAGATTCGGCCTTCGGCAAGACAATCACCTTACCGTCCACCTTGGCTTCCGGAATTCTGTTAGACCCTGCATTCGATCTGGGTGTTTCAGCTGGGCTGACCTTGCCTGCTTGAACTGTCGTTCTAGGGGTTTGAAGGAGCGGTTGTACTGGCGCCCTAGAGTTTTGATGGACCAATTGTCCGGCTGACGTCCTGGGGTTTTGAAGACGAGGTTGCACCGCTGGCGTTCTGGGGGTTTGAAGGAGAGGTGGCACGACTGGCATCCTGGGGGTTTGAAGCAGAGGTTGCATGGTTGGCGTCCTGGGATTTTGAGGAAGCTGGACATCTGCAGAATTCTGCACCATGTTCATGTGAGGATACAAAGGAATGGTGTCCACAGCAGCCTTCAAGTGTTTCTCCGAGACTAAGGTGTGATTGTAACCCTTTTGCAGGTCAGGTGTTTCCTTTGACGAAAATGGCTTTGACATTTTCTTCCATCCGGAGGTCCATCCACTTTTATGCTTGGAAGCTTTCGTCAACTCCTCCACCTGATCAACCCGCACGATTTCCGATCAAATTTCATGCTCTTCCTGGGCAGCAAGTCCAGAAACACTTTGCTAGGTTGAGAGAGAAGAAACGTACATCGTGCATTACCTGATGAGTCATCCCACTGTAATCGTGCGCCAGATCTAAAAATTTCCGATTCATATTCTCCATTTCCTGCTGGAGAACATCCATGAAACCAAGACGAGACTTTACAAACTCAATCTCTTGCACAGCCTGTCGCAACAACTCAATTTCGGAGAGAGCGCCGCGCAAAGTGTCTTTAACTGACAAACCCCCTGGCATGACCGAGCTCACAACACTAGGAACAGCACTAGGGGCGACACTAGGGGCCACGCTAGGAGCCACACTGTGAACGCTCTGCACGCTATGTATAGACAGACTATATGCGCTGGAAGCACTGGAGGCACTTGAGGTTGAAAGACTGGTGGTGGATGTGTCCGTGGAAGCAGTAGAGCTGGAGAGCGGATCCGAGCTGCTGGATTCAGAATAAGAGTCTCCAGCAGTGGAAGTGGAGGAGGAAGAGGAAGAGGAGGAGGAGGAGAACCTAGGAGGAATGCTATCCACGCGTTTTCCGTTGATTACGGCTGTGGCTGTGATAGCATTTCGCAATTTAACCTGCTCAGCAAAGAGAATCTGCACAACCACTCGCAGTGGGAGACGCTCGTTCGAAGCAGCATGCATGCATGCATTTAGGGACAGAGCTTGAATATCCATCACCTTGCAGAGCTTCCGACGCTCGAGGTCATTCAGGCTTGGGTGTGACTGCACACGCCAGCACAAAAATGTCAGCAATCCTATTCGAACATGTCAAACTATTAACACATGAATTCCCAAACCAATGTCGAAGGGATTTGCGACGATAGCGACATTGTATAATGTAGGTGAGTACCCTGAGAAAGGTGTCAATTGCTGAGTAGACGCAATCATCCGACACTCGAGGAAATTCAATGAACAAGTCTGCAAGTGCCACAAACTTCCCAAGAGGAATGCTAGGGTCTTTCGCTACTTCCTCCAAATAAACTTCCAAGACCTGCGAGACCTTGAGATTTGCCGACGTGGGAGGAAGCTGTGGTCTCCTGGTAGGCCCTTCCGTGGAGAAGAACTTTTTGGATTCAAACATGCTGTCAAGCTTCTCACTTTCCTCACTTTTCGTCTTCGTTGAGGTGCTTTCATCACTGGAAGATGAGGTATCGCTGATGCTCGATGTGGTGCGGGAAAGCGAGGTGCCGCTACCCGAGACGCTTGTGATCGTGATGCTCGACCCAGTCACACTGTACCCTGAAATGCTTGATCCTGAAGCACTTGTACCCGAGATACTAGAGTCTGAAAAACTCGTGCCTGAAATACTCGAACCTGAAACGCTGGAGCCTGAAACGCTGGAGCCTGAAATGCTGGAGCCTGAAACGCTTGAACCAGTAATGCTTGAGCCAGATATGCTTGAGCCTGAGCTTGAAATGCTTGTACGTGAGACGCTGCTTCTCCCGCCAACGCTGCTGGTGTCAGTGACGCTGCTGTCACTGCTACTGGATCCCGAAACGCTTCGACCGTTAGAAGAGGTGATCACACTGGACAAACTGGAAGTAACTGTACCGGACGTCACACTTGACGTAATTGAATTTCCAGCACTACTCGTGGGGCTCATGGGGGGGCTCTCGAAGGATTGCTCTTGGAGATAACACTGGACGATTTGATATACCACATCAACATCATACATAGCATCACTGGAAGCGTTGTAGGCAGGGATGAGGAGCTCGGCCACAGAGACATTCTCGAGCTGCGTGCCGATTCTCTTCACCAGATCTGCCTTGAACATAGGACCTGCGTTCACTGCGCAAGCAGTCCGTAACAGCTTGAGCAGAAATTTGCAGGAAACAGAGTCTGGTTGCGAAGGAATGAGCTTCACAATCCCTTGAAAAATTGCTCTTTTCTTCATCTGCGCTTTACTTGCAACGTCCTGACTGAACCCCGCAAATGCAGCAACGCTGCAATGCGATTGCCATTGAAGTTTCGGAGATTCCTCTTGTCCCGGTTGCTGGGCCTCCTTCAACCCCAGCCATTTCTCAGCATATTGCACTATTGCCGCGGCCACCATGGTATAGTCCATACCCTTCGCAACGACAGCATTGATCACCTTGCTGAACATGTCAATGTAGAGGGTACAAACGTCGTCGAACCACCAACCGCGAGGGGCGTCCCTGCTACCCGTAGATTTGGTATACGACCACCGAAGACCGTGTGGATCAGTACTCGCCTTCCACGCAACGGACTCACTACACCTACGCACAATCTCAAGCTCCTCTGCCCATGGCTCAAGGTCCGAGCACGAGCGCAGCACGTTAATTGAGTCTTTCCAAGAACCTAACACAACGTGATTCAAGTAGTTCTCTGTCGTCGCAACCAAGCCCCCCTCCCCTAAGACATCGTTTATCTCCAAAAAGTCCGCCGCGCAACGAAGGGAAGCCACATTGACGGAAGTAATTGGGACATTCTGGCCGTGCATAAACCTGACCACATTTTCAAATGCTTCGGCGCCTCCTGGTATGTCCTTGAGGGATACTCGATCCTTGTTGGCTCCGCGGAGCTCGAGTACCATGCGATGAAGCGTTCCGCTCGTGGTAATAAGAGGAGACTGCAGCAAGGTATCCAGAAAAACCGAAGCAACATTAGTGAACGCGATACCTAAACTGAAGTTAGAAAATATTCAAGTGACCCAATCGAGATATAAAGTAAAACAAAACACAGAAATAGAATAAGATAAACAGAGGAAGAAGAAAAAAAACAAAACAAAGAAAACAGACAAACAAACAAAAAAGAAAAAGGAAAACAGAAAACGGTAGGTGTTCTTCGTGAACCTTGGGCAGATAAAAGCTCCGATCCCCGATTTCGACATGAAGATAACTCTGCAACTCATTACCCTCAGCCCTGCCAAAGAAGAAGATACAGAATAATATGTTTAGAAGGTAGCATAAAAGAAGCGACTACATAGGAAACACTTCAATCACGTCTTCGTGCCCCACCCTCACCACATTTCAAATTCCTCGCAAGGCGCCATTCCAAATCTCCGTGGAAGTCTCACACGGAAGGTTCAAAAGTTCAGATCCTCCATCTTCACCTTACAAAATTCCAATTCATCGACGCAGCTAAGGTAAATCCAATGCACCCCTAGTTGTATGAATTCAGAAGCGCAGAAAGGAATCCGTGCATACCAAGAATTTTCATTCCCCGACCCATTGGCACTCGGTCGACTAGATAATGAGGATCGCCTTCCATCGCGCTTGCTGGACACTGCATCTAAACTGATGTCAATGTCGATGAAATTACTCGAAGCATTGCGATCCAGCCATCTACGCTCCTGCTCCTGCTCCTCCATGGCATTCGATTTCGGAATCGGCGGCATTGTACTCTCAACGCGCGTCTAAACCTCACAGAAGCTCCACACACATCCTCTACTCTCTAACTCAACCACACTCCGTCCGTCACCTCCTACCTACAATGCGGACTTCCCTGCAAAAAACTTAACCAAGAAATCCTAGACAACAAACCCCCGCACTTGTATCAACTAAACTAACGCATCAACTACTGAACCAACAAGCTACATACTATCAAAACGCTCAAGCTACTCCTTCATCCCACCGAGACTCGCACAGATTAACCAAAACTCCAACTCCGCCACCCCTCCAACTCGGTCGCTACGACAACCCGGATGCGGTTGCGGCACGAGGCTGCTGTTACTAAGCCACCCTCAAAGATCCGGTTCCAAGTACGCTGCTGTAGGATGCAAGTTGCGGTGGTGGCCACACAGCACGACATGGGCAGAGGAGGAAATGTAGGAGGAGGGGACGACAAGTAATGAAGCAATCACATCAACCACCGGCACTCTCGCAATCCTCCCATCATCCGGCATTAAGGGGAGAAGGTGGGGGGCGTCTTTGCTTATCTCCCGGTGCCGAAAACAGCGCCGCACCACCTAAAATAAAACTCCCCCTGTCATGAGCATGTTGCAAATGGGGCTCCAGCGGCGTGCGGGGTGTGCATACAGTGCAGCTGCCGAGGTTCCTAGTCCATGCACGCACCGGCGCATCTCCATCTACGTTCTCCATTCTCCATCCTCTCCTGGCAACGACGGATGTCACCGGCATGTCAGACCGGGAGGAGCTGGATCGCTCGCTTTTCTCTCCACCCCCCCCGGTTCCTTTTGGCTATGGCTCGCCCGGATGCCTCCTCTCGTCCACGTCGACTGGACGTGCGCTTTTCAAACGATCTTTCTCCGACGAAACTGGGACGGGAAAACTCCCTTTTGGCTTGCGTCTCCTTCGAGGCCGATGAATGAATATGGATGTTGATTATTATCATCCTTCAACACATTCATCTGTTTGCAGGGACTACCTTTACATCCATCCATTCACTTCTTCTGTTATTATTTTATCTTTCCCATCCTTTTATGGATTAAAAAATATGTGCGTGTATAAATATTTCATCCAATGATACTTGGGTCTCGCCCTTTCCTCTTATCTAGTGTTTTCATTGTCTTGGTTGTAACAACACTAACACACAAGTATAGGTATCATGTTAGAATCTATATATGTATGTTTCGTTTTTTCTAATTCTAAAAAAAAAAGTTTCTCACCTATCAGAATTATAACATGTGGGATCCAAGGATTTCACACAGACGCCATTTATATTGATGAACATGAAACTCTAGCAACACTATAAAGTAAGACCTAAATGCCTAAACTTGATATGGATCAGACTTTCACAAATTTTTAGTCAGTGGGTGTTGTGCAAGTGGAAGACATAAGAATAGTATGTGATGTAAACAAATGTGATCACTTGAAATGCATAAGTTACGGAACAGTTGGGTATGAAAACCATCATTGGTGATGTGAATTCTTTTGTCTTTTTGCATACACATCAAAATTGGAAAAAAATAAATTACTCAACCTCATGAAACTAAGGAATCAATGTTTTTATTTTTATTTTTATGAGAATTGTAATAAAATTTGTGGAATTCTTTTAAATAAATAAGTTCTGAATTTGCATCATGTTTGAGCATTTACGCCTCAAAGAAGAAGTTTATGAATTTAATTAATATAAGAATAAATAAATTCCAACTTAAAGATCCCAAATATTTCAAGATTTGTAAAGCAAAATGTAATAGAATTCTGGTATCTTTTTGTGCCTATTGAATTCACATGTTTTTGGTTTATTGAAATCTTTCCAAAAACATCAGACTAACAATAAAACAAGTACAATTGGTTTGTTTTACTTCAGAAAGAACTACTAACTAAATTTATTCGGTTGTTAATTTTTTAGAAAAAAAGTGATGTACTAGAAAAAAAATTATATTTAATGAAGTTGTAATTCAGCGAAGAAACATGGACAAAAAAATGGACAAAAGGGGAAAAAAACACAGTAAACAACCACATTTTGAGATCTTGGGCACTGAAGAATTAAAAACCCTCAAAACAACATTGAAGATAGATATGGATACCATTTCTCAAGAATTTTGAACCAAAAATAAGCTGCCACGTGTTCCCAAGTCAAGGTTTCCCACGAAGAAGGTTTGTTGATTTGTATAAATCCGCTGCCATCCAGTGCGTTGACCATCACAGTTACATTTTTGTACAGTAAACACATATTTGTAAAGTGTACTGAGGACAAATATCTTCAGGATTATGGTCGGCAAATGCATATTCAGTAAATAGTGCAATCTTATAACAAAATTGCAGAGAATGTATATATATATTGCAGTAGACAGACCATTTATGGCGTCAAGAACATACACTCTCAATGACAAGATTGCCATTTGCAATCGCATTTATTGCAGCGGTTGAACCCTGATGTAACTCGAAGAAAGAAGTTGTGAGAATAGCATTAAAAAAACGTACACATTTAAAGGTATAACGCTTACAGCGAATGACTGATCACACAGACTGTTAATCTTTGAAAAGGTATTCGGAACAGGTATGAAGCGAAATAGAACTTGATACATTGCACAAACCTCATCGCCGGTCACCTTGAAGCTCATGTGGCATGAAGTCTTCTGTCGTTCGATAACTCTTGTTCGGCGAATAATAGCATAAGTTAGTCACATGGCTAGTGTACAAGCAGGCAAACCTCTCCACCTGCAAAGGACAACACAACTGGAGTGACTATGAAGAATCTGAAACCATCAGACAAGTTTCTTCGCTGTCAAAGCTGGAGCCTACTCTCTGGGGAATCACACGTCGTAAAACTTCAGGGAGTGTCTGTAATGGATATCTGTAATAGGCATCCTCAAAAATCAAAGGAGGGAAATAAATACATGAGAAGGAAAAACCAAGAGATTTTCTACCAACCTGGTGCGAAAACCGAGAATTTTGATAGCCTGTCTTCATTAGTTGTCCCCAAGTCTTGTGAAACTGTCATCAAGAGCAGCATCGTGACTAACTTGCCTCATTTGGAAGGTATAGAGATGGCAGTTACCTTGATCTGGAAAACTGAAGCAAAAGACATTCAATCACTTGACAGGATGCGTACCAAGTGATGACATTCTCGTTGGCCCTGACGATGTTGTTCGCGCACGATAGCATTCTCTTTCTTCAAACCACATCCACACAGCTTTTTCATTAATGTCACTACCATCAGGTACCATATAAATTCTTTTGACATGCATAAATTGGATCCTAAACCAGTAATAACACAACATGTCGTGTATCTCCAGTTGTGAAATGATTACGCTCTGGTTGCCACAAGCTAATCTAGGCAACGGTAGTAACAGCTACTAATTTAGGCAACGGTAGTTTCAACTAACAAAATCTTACGAGCACTTACTCGTAAGTGTGCCACTTCCTGCTCTAGTCTTTGTTGGTCCTCGTCTGTGTGGTTTTCATGTCTGCAAATTTCCACAGTGCCTGCCTAAAATCAGAAATAAATCATCTAGTGCAAGGTCGAATGTACAAGATGACAAAGTGTGATAAAAATGCAATGGACCTCATTGGATGGACACGAAAAAATAATGAATTTCCAAATAAAATATGGGCAATTAGACAAACTGTGCAGGAGCTAGAAAATCCCGCTACAAGACAAATGAAATATACTCTGCAGAACCGCTGTTAAGAAAATACCTGAGACACCATTCCAGACGCAGCAAACTATCTTCCAGGTCATCTCGTTGTGTGCGCAACTCGGATATTTCCTGAAGTCAGAATAGTCCTGGCATTTACTCGTGCTAATTACACGTTGGTACAAGTAACTCTTACTATAACCTGCCTGCGCAAACCACTTTGAACCCTAATGATAGCACACCGAAAACCTCAATCTGTAAGAAGTTCATGTTACATTGTTCGAAACTCACCTTCCGGATGGTCATAGTTTGATGAAGTACATCCAGCTCAGCTGCTAACTCAGGCACTACAAGCATTGTCCTCCACCCTGTAAATATATTTGCTAAGGAGTTAAAGTTCTTGATATCTAATCCAGTAAAACCAGAAAACTCTGGAGTAAGAAGGGATTTCTGTGCTTCGAGCTTCAAAATTTACAAGGCAAATCCCAATTCCACAACCTCCTCTAAAATCACCAGTCACATGGTCGTTTCAAGAATAAAATAAAATAAAATCACCTAATTCTTTTTTGCTTCGTAAGATATCTCCATAAATATGATCGCCTACATATAAAACCTGCACCAACGATTCCAATGTCAAACCAACGATTGTACATTACCAGCCTGTGACAAGCACAGACTCTTCGGTATCTGGAGGTATAACAACTGAACAGTTCAAGTTCGTTCATATAAGAACTCCTGACTTGGAAGCATGTTGCACCAACGCCATCCACAGAGTAAGGGAAGTTATCCCAATCAGCAGGAACTGAAAGTTATCCTTAAGGACATGGAAACAAAAATTCGAGCGAGGCCAGTATGGATTACAAGACTCAAAAGAGGATCGAAAGATTTAATCATCTAATAGTCATTGTTTAGTTTTCATGCACACAAAATGAAAAGTACCTGTGAACTAGCCTCGATAGATAGTAAATTATGTAGATGAGCGACAGAACCACCCTAGAAGTTTCACAAAACAATATGTCAGTAAAAGAGAACTTACATAGAATGATGCGGTATCTAAAAATATTACAATCAAATGCGCCAGCTATGATCCAAGGACATCCACAGGAACCAGCCTTAATTACAGACTCATTGCATTTCTCAAAAACAATTCAACCAAAAAAGCTTTAGAGTGATCTAACAATTTGCCTGGAACACTCGATGTGCCTTTTTCACAGTTGCATTTGGCAACACAACACCTTCAAGACCAACTCCACCAATCTGGTAAAACAAAGACAAGAGTTCGATTACATTGCGGTCAGGATAAATAAGGAACCTTTACACCGCAGCCAAATCGACAAAGATACAATTGCTTAGAAAAATAGATTGCAACACTACGTGTAGAAAGTAATCACCTGCGCCATAGGTACGCCTGAGTCGGTATTCTGTAGCATGCCTGTGCTTATGTCTACCTCAAATAAAGGAGTTCTATTCCCATCCATGAAAAAAGTAGGTTTTGCACTGTGTTCACAACAAACTGTTCAGAAAACATGCTGACGCAGCCAAGTATACATGAGACGAGATTAGCCATATACACTGTGCTGTAGCAACTTTCACTTCAATTCTGAATGAGTACACAGAAGACCTAAACTGACCTTCCAGTAACAACAACATCAAAGTAGGAGAGCCATTCGTCATCTCGAGGAACGCCACCTTCAGTACCACATTTTCCACACAGAAAATTCATGACTACATGCGTGTAATCCCACAAGCTGCACATAAACATTCAGTATGATCTGTCAAAGTTCCGGCAAACCAAAAAAAACGATTTTCTTCTTTAATATTAGTATTACAAAGATTGTGCTCTAACAAAACCCAACGCTCAATAAAAATAAATGTTATAAATAGCCACCATTTTAGTGCCTCATTTACAGTTGAAACTCACCTGTTTGTAACAAGAAATAATTTGCGTCCAGATTGTTTGAGCATTTTCAGCATTGGAATTATCAAGGGATCCTCGTTTATGTACCTGAAAGTAAAGTGCTGTTTCGTAAGAGTGGAGTTCTACATGATTATATCAGAAGTATATTGCCTTGAAACAGTACATAAAATGAAGTATATTTCCAAGAAAGGAAATAGAAAATGATAGTTTGCAAGATAATTGAATTCATCCTCAAGGAAATGGATTCTTACTTGCTGGGATCATTTGCAACAGCTTGTTTTAGAGTACCATCTCGATGACAAAGGTCTACAGCTGACCTCACGTCCTTATAGAGCTGTGAATAACTGCCACAAAATCATCGAAGAATTATTAAAACCATGCATTCACGATGGAGCCCCAAGCTGGCAAGTGGCCACATTTGAATCCTTCGAGACTAAATACAAAAGAATAAGTTCAACATACGTACTCATAGGCGCCAGAAGGCATTTTATCTGGGAAAGCGTCTTTGAAGTCAACAAGCTGCATGAACAAGTACGCCTCAGCTAGTGAGAAAAGTGTGTCGATTAATGCATAGTCTGGCTCATCATACGATTCACGTGACAAAGTGTTGCCGTACATTGCTTGCCGATCATCTCGAGACAACTCGCGAAATCCGTGATAAGCCACTTTTACATACTTGTGGCGGTCCATCTGCCAGTGAGTGATAATGCAGATAGATAAGTTCCACATCAGCCGGATATCATAGTACATATTCAACATACATGTAAAATAGTTTAATCCTCGTTATTCGGAGCAACCAATAACCACAAACTGACTTGATAGTGTCCGGTTATAGTCTTCAATACCGTAATGAGGGATGTGCTTGACACATGCAATTTGAGAGGTAGAACTTGAATGAGCATCTATGAATTTCCACCGCATATAGAAGTGACGAGTCCCACCTTCAGTATGCAGCCACGCCTTTTGTCCAGCACAAGGCCCCTCACCATAAACCTCCAGTCAAATTTCCATTGCAGAAGCTGTATAGCAAAAAAGAAATCAGGAAATTATTGTTGCAATCGACAGAGTCGATTTGTTTAAACTGCCCAGCTAAATGGTGCAGTAAATGAGAAGTGATGCCAGCTATCGTATCAAAACCAATTATCTCCTCTCGATTTCAGTAGCCAGGAGCTCCTTCTAACAGCTACATGAATGAAGGAGAATTAATACTAGCACAGAAATTTCACCAATTTCAGAAAACAATTTAACTGTGATTGGAGATGAGGAGGAACGAGGCGACCTAGGATGGCATACTCTAAGGAGACAATTCAACACCAGAAGTCGGTAAGACAGAAATAAAGGAACTCACTTCTGATGGATAATTCAAGTTGTGCACCAATTTTTGAATTGTGCCCACATACGCCAAACTTTCAAAGGTTTCTGGTTTGTATTGTGCAAGAGTATAGTCCATGTCAAAGCCGATGGCGTCGATGCTCTTCATGTTGAGTGACCGATTGCAGAAAATTTGCTTACGCGCGTCAATAGGCCTAGCCCACCATCGGCCGCTCCACAAAAGCTCCCCATCTACTGCAGCAACTCCCTCATAGCTACGATCAGCACCATTCGTAGAATACGGCTCCACGCGAGATGCATACAGTGACCATTTGGACCGGCTCTTGAGATTTCTGAATTTCCCTGCAAACCAATTCCCTGAAACACATTAACAAAACAAGAAAAAATAAAAATAAAATAAAATAACGAAATAATTTTATTGAGATACAGACTGAAATGTAAAAGATTACGATTAGCAGATCTTCTTGAAAGTTCGAGCTTTAACCTTGAGAGGTAGATGATGTGAGACTCTTGACCAAGTTTGAAGATGAAAAAAACATTACCGCCCTGCTTGAATGTCCGAGGTCTAGGGTGGCAACCCCGTGGCAGCATGTGACTTTAGAGTAACGAGAATGCGAGCCTCTCACATACACCTCCAAGTAATAGCAATATTACCAAAACTCATATTAAACATGCCATGCTTGAAACGAACGAAACAAAAACCTGAAGAATCCAATTGGAATTTGTAGAATGCAGTCAATTATGAAACAAATTCCTACCAGAAAAATTCTCAGCGTCTCCAACAGACCTAGAAACAGACGCAGAGCGTGTCTCCCTCCTAGAATGTACAGCAACACCGTAATCCCATGGGTTCGCAGCGGGAACCATCCCCCAGGACTGACTCTCCCAAGCGCACCCAAACATTGACGCCTGCTTAAGCCCACTCCATGCCCGCCGTCGAGGCACCCGAAAAGGGGGAGCACCAAGAGAAGAAGACCATGTTGAGCACGACCCGTGTGCGAATCCCAGCAGAAGCGAATTCTGCAGCTGGTGACCTGCCGATGCAGATGATGCACTAGAAAACCGCAAGAAATTCATTCTACTCGACTCTTCCCTCACGCGACCCAACTTCGAAATCACGTATAAAGTCTCCCAAACTTCATTTCTCAACTCAGCTAATCCTACACCAAGACACCATACGACAAGAACTCACGCCCATTCTCTCAAGAATGAAGAAGCATTCCTCCGATATCGAAATCCACGTGATTCCCACCGCATGCAACCACCAAAACTCTCATCGGCCCTGCATATGAGACTGCAGCTGATACTAGAACTCGGGACAGGTATCGAACTAAAAATAATGTTTCCGTGAACCATATTCTGACAAGGATGGCTTGAAATTTCCGGGCAGCAGTGGAGAGGGCATGCGCTTACCCATTGACGCGGCAATCGAGCGGCGTCGATGCAAAAAAGAGGTGGAATCGCTCCGCAGCGCAGCCCAGGACTCAGCTTCCTTCGCTGTCTTAGGCCTAGCTGCCGAGAATATGGGGCCGCTTTCTTCGCTGGTGCTCCCGTGTATCATCCATTATATGTTCATCCATATCCTCTTATCATTCATCCATCCATGGTATGGACCTCGCTTGCACTGGTTTCCGTCGTTCTTCGACGACAACGTTCGTGCTATCCCTCGTCGGTGTTTTCGTCCGTGGTCGTTGACGACGTATAAAGTCATCCGTGAAAAGACATCGGCACGGATAAGAGAACAAGTTCGTTCCAATCACGCGCACTTCCAAGGATTCTCTATTCGATTCGGGCTAGATTGAAGTTCTCAATAGTTCGAATGATATTTCCAAAACTTACAGTAAGGTCATAAAGAAGAAACGTAAGCATGATTGTGATGTAGTTCTGTCTTACATGAGAAAATGGGAAAAAAAAAATATATATATATATATATATATAGAGAGAGAGAGAGAGAGAGAGAGAGAAATTGAATTTGAAAGATATCAAAGTGGAGGATTCAGAATACGATTTTTTTTCTAAAACTAGTATGACAACTCAGACTTACCATTAGTAAGTTTTTCGTATACAACTTAATATACTTTAACAACCATACAAATATTTGTTCATTCTCTCTTTCTTTTTTGACCACTCGTCTTGTTTCTCTAGTTTTTATACTGTCTTTAGCTCGTTTTGTATATAGTTATGTCTTTGAATTTTTAACCACATTTTTGCTTGAACTCAAGCAGCAACTTAATCTTTAGAAGGCTAGTGCAAATAGTAGAGCGAATGTAGAATCTTCATCTACACTCCCTCTATATGTAGAATCCCTCAGCCTTCCCTGGAGTAAAATTGATCTAGTCAGCAGGATATGTTGCATGGATGTCCACAGTGCTTGACCCACATAAAGCTTTGAAAGCCATGTGTTCAGTTTTGATCTTGAATCACACACCCTTCATCTCGAGGCATAAAGCTATGGCTTCATAAAGAAGAATGTCCAGCTTAGAAGGTAGATTTTTCCTCCATCTCTCAGCTTTTCCTGATGCCGACTGTCCCTGTCGAGGCTCAACATCTGACGTGGCAAGCTGAACCAGGTTTGGTTCAGTGATGGAAGGTGGGGCCGAGTACTAATTGCCTGACCTTAGTGAACCTTTGTCCCTCTGAAGAATTGGGTCTAAAGAGAAGCAAGAACTTTGATTCATTCGAGTGTGTTGCTTCAGCGGAAAAGAGCTGTAGTTCTGTAACTGCCCGCTAAATGAATGTGGTGATTTCCTAGTATTTAAAGAGCATGTGAAATAAGACCGAAAGAAGGACAGAGTTGACAAATTTATGTCGTTCGGTACCTTAATGCCGAAACACCTGAAACAGGTCTTTGTCCGTGGCATCAAACGAGCTTCGAAAGGTGTTGTTGGGACAGGTCAGTGGCGGTGAGTCAGTTGCTTCCAGGTTGGATTCCTCCACCTGTGATTTCTCCATTACCGACGATGCGACAGTAGTAGAATCGCCTGGTGACAAGGGTTGAGTTGAGACAGCTGAAAAACACGTGCCCTATCCTCCAAAGAATATGACGCATTTCGGCTTACAATTACAAAGATGTTGAAACATCTGAATGGAACTGACAATCAGTATTCTTTTAAACAATGAAACCAGAAGTTAAAAAGAAATTTGTTGCTTCCCAGGTGACTAAAACTGGAAATGACATGTCCCATCATATATAGCAAGCAAAAAGGTTCAGAAGACGGCGGTAAAAAATTCAAAAATGTAGGTGTCTAGCAATTATATGCAATACCTGAACAACAATTTGAACTCATAAGCATCCTCACTTAGCAAAACTAATTATGATGTGGTACATCTTACTAGCGTATACTTATCTGCTGAAATCAACTCTACTAACATTACGTACAAACTGTCAAAGATAGGAACACACTTGTCAGTTCGTGCTTGAATAGTACGAGGGAAGGGAACCAGCTTGAATAGAGCCCACAGTCGGTAAACCAGTGTGGGCAGGCTGATTTCCAAAGGTTGCATACTGTCCATACTGTGACGGATTGTAAGGCTGCGGTGATGTTGAAAGACCTCCATACTGTGGGTTTGTAACAAGACCCCCGTATGTGGCTTGAGTACCGTACGCTAGAGAATTATAGCCTGAAAAACTCAGCGTCTGAGGAGCGGAAGTAGCCAGCTGAGGTCGGGAATAGTTTGAGATACTTGGGTTGATGGATGTATATCCCGGTTGCACTGGAGGCAGAGATTGCAGTTGCGAGGTGGTTGCTTGCGGTTGAGTCCTCTCTCTTTGACCCTCTGCTGCTAGTTTTACAGTAACATGCCGTCCCTGCACAGCCAAAATAATTTCATCCCGAAATCAGACTGCAGCTTGTACAATTTTGCTTGAAATATAGCTACTTCAAATCCCCAAGTTCGTCATTTGAAACACAATTGTATAATCGACTTGGGTGAAAAACACTGAGCTGATGATAATATACAATAATGGCTATCACAAGTGTAGAGTTGTTTATAGTTTGTTGTCGCTCACTTCAATAATTTTGTTGCTATCCTCCATTGCTCTCTTAGCTCCATCAATTGTCTTGAATGTCACAAATGCAAACCCTCTACATTCAAATAATAAACAACACAAAAACCGTGTTACGAAAGTGAGCATATAAGAGTCAAAATCCACTCCCAGACGTTTTCAGAAACTTACCCTAGTGTTGTCAATGCATACATTGCATTGCAAACACAAACTGTTAAAAGTATTGAAGGACTTCGTCATACACACATAGAAACGGCCACATCTCATACAAAACGAGACATCTTCCTGTCATAACTATGGCCGGGCAACTTACTGGCTTATCTGATACTGATCACTAAGAAAAGATTCAATACCAATTCAAACTCGAAGTAAACATGATAGTTACAGGACAGGAAAAGACCTGGATTTATTTGTGTTTTTGTCGTATGCAATAGCACCTTCCTCTATCTCTCCGTGCTGTGAGAAAATATTAAGAAGGGTATCACTAGTTGTGTCATACGAGAGACCTCCAATATAGAGCTTCCTTTGTGCCTGGTCTGAAGAAGATGTTCCACTAGTACCACCAGCAGACGCTAGATTGCATACTGTGATTCGGCCCTGTGTAAATGAGAAGATAATAAGTGCTCAAGCAGCGACAAGCTCTTCTAATGTTGTGAATAACTTTCCGGAAATTATCATTGCACGTGCCTGTAACTCCCTGAACTTCGTTATTGATACATCTCTCCAAATTGATAGCTTGAAAGATCAAGATGTCCAAAGCCATTAAGAGACAAAAGAAACCCAAATTTGTCATAGATTGCATACGTAGCCTGGAAAGACTTACATCAATGTTCTTGCTAGGTTCCTTCAACGCACGCTGCGCTGAATCCATGTGTTTGAAAGTTACGAACCCAAAACCTCGTGATTTCCCAGTTCCTTTATCTGTGATGACACAGGCTTCCTCGACCTCACCATACTGTTCAAATGCCTGTTTACAAACGAATCAAGATTAGCACAAAATACTTTTTGTGAAGAATGATGAATCTCTCTCATCACTCATTTTACATAAAGATCACTCACACCCTTACTTGCAGCAAGTTAAGAGTGTCTTAGATCGCGGTAATCATCAGACACTCAACCTGTAACTTCTGCCCTATCATTCATTGGATCATCCAATGTCCGGGTATATCATACGGACAGATTTCACTAAAATTCCATTGATGGTTATTTCACATTGGGGTTTCTCCACATGCACTGGTTTCTTGATACTGCAACAGAAGTAGCCCACATGATGGAAATAGAAAAGACAGGAAGAAAGTTTTCCTCACACCATCGTAACCAGCTGCAGAGGGGAATGCAGAACCTCATATGAGTGCAACCAAGATACAATAAACTAGTAAAACGAGGGATCGACATGATCCCACAGCACGCTTCAGAATGATACATAAACATAGCCCAACAGGAATAAAAGTCCTAATGCGGTAATTTGTCCCCACTCCGGTTCAAACGTAGCATGCTCAAGAGATATGTGCACACTATGAGAAGAAACTCATGAAAACCATACAGACAGCCAAATATTGGCGCTCGGGAAACAGCCGGGTACAGAATGAAGTATATTCGTCGATGGAACAACCAAATTGAGGTCTAGCCACGAAGGCATGCATTTTGTGCAAGCCTATTTTTGCACTTATTACCTTGCTTGTGAAGAAATGTCCCGAGCTCTCAAAATTCCAGCAAATTCATCAAATAAAGAAATACCAACAAGCATCTTGAACACTCACTTCCCGCAGAGCCACTGAAGAGGTCTCCCAAGCCAGGCCACGCACAAACAGCTTCCGGTGAACAGGGTCCTTACTAGCACTGTCTCTAATATCATCTGCCACTGCAGGAAACAGAGACCCTCTGCATGCAACAACCATTCCAGCCAAACATGCAGTCCCAGGCATCCCAGTCATTTAAAAGCTTTCAGTCCAGAATAATAATTACAGAATCAAAAGCCTCTTAGTCCTCCAAACTGATAATTCAGGCCCAAAAAAACAAGCTAAAATTAAAAATTAAAAACTGCAGTTCCAACTTTCACAAACCAAGTCGATACTGTAAATGCACCGTCCGTCCGATCTATCAACGAATAAATGAAAAAGCACAAAGTTGAGTTCCACAGAAGCTCAAAGCAACTCATTGTAGCTGCTTCAGAACTTCATTTGCACATCGATACCGTACTCACTACCCCAATTTCCAAATGATCACTGTAACAGAAAGTAAAACAATTTGATGCTCAACTGCCAAAGAACGTTCCGCTCAGTAATGAAGAATTCAAAGTCTTATTTATACAAATTCATATGAACATCTATATGAGGCTTACCATGACGTTTGAATTGCAGCTCACAGATTAGGGTAAAATTCAGGAGATCGAAAAATTTAAAATGTGATCACTGATGAGTAAGAGAGTTTTCTTTCTCACGAAGGTGAAACAGGGCAGTCGATGTTCCTTTTATATTTAGTTGAGTCATCATCTGAAAGGGGGTCAGAAGTATATCACACATGTAAACACTCCGTTACAGGCCAAGTATCGGAAGAGAGGTTTCAGCTTCATTAATGAAGAGTCTACCACTCGCTATTTTAAAATCTGGACAGCTCGTCATGACGGCATTGAAACACAACCTGAACCCAACATTTCAATTACAAAAGAAACACTCACTGAGCTGTTTGTTCTCAACAAGTGCAAAGGTGCCACTTCGATGATGGTCTCTAAAGCCATGATCCATGAGATTACGAAACATGTAATTTTCGTGAAGTTGCAATAGTATAATACATGTCGCAAGTGATGCCAAAAGTGATCATAGATACCTGAGGAAACCTTAACATTGTGAAATGAATGATCTAGCACAGCCCTCAGTCCAGCTCTAGGTTCAGCCGTCAATTGCACAGCACTCAGTCAATCACATTTCCAGTTTACAGAACATGAACCCTGGTTTGGTAATATTATTCAAACCGTGATACACTCCTGGAAAGCTGCAGGACTTGCAAAAAAGGAACGACAGCCCTTAGGCAGACTATAAGAAACGTCGTCGGCACTATTTTCAGCAAGACAAGCATGCATGAATCTTCATTGCAGTGTTCATACGTAATGTCAATGAGAGATGAGAGGTACTTACGCGTCTATCAGCAGGGCAACAAGCTGGTCCTTACTGAGCGGCTCCAACAATTTCTTAAGCTCTTCCCTTGATAGCTTCACAGTAGGTGCTCTATTACCACCTTCTATGACCTTCCTTTTTTTTTTGTCCCCGAATCCCGAGTATTCACTACCTTCATAATCTGGATAGTCCGTCTTCACAGGGTAGTCCATCGCGACATTGAGAGCGTAATCCATGTCACTATTCCCTGCCTCGACTGCTATATGTACCTGTATAGGAATACAAAAGTAAAGATGAAAATCTCGCGGTTGGCAACTAGCCTCTCATATCTTAATGTTTTTGACGTACTCGACCTGCTTTCAGTCTTCATCCAGACCCTCTACAACGTCCCACATCCACCTAGCAATCAGAATACTGGGGATAAGAATATTTTTGAAAAAGTCCTACAACGTGGTAAAGTTACTTACCTATACAGATTGTCCTGATTGTCTACACAACCTAACACACAAGCCCTACCAGGATTGCTTTACGTCCTGAAAACCTAAGCATACTACTCATACCTAATTCACGAAAGCTGATTGAGGGAAACCTAGTTCCTTCTCTGATTCCGTTCCTAAAGGGTGGAGCAATGTCTGCAGACAAAAAATCATGTCCAACTAAACACGTAAATAAGCGAAGCAACGTCCATGGTCAGAACTGCAACTAAATGTCACGAACACTAACAGGATTCATCAGCAGACTTAAAACTCCACCAAACAACACAAATTACATCTTAGAACGTGCACTGACCTTTGAGTACTACTCTTTTGAGAGTTATATGGTGTCCTTGTTCTCGAATAGCACGTACCTGAATCAACATATTTAATAATATTACAAACTAATTCAAACATTATTCTTCCCCAAAACGATACTCGGTGACTGCATTAATCGATTTTCGATTCCCTCGGGCTCACAGAGATCACTAACCCGAAGAGGCAAGTTCTGAGAAATACGAGCAGGATAACTTCGGAATGTAATATTTTCAGAACTATAGTACAAAGTAAAGCCAATGCTATGTAGTCATTCCAACTCGCAAGGTTTAGAAATAGCTACTAATTGTAATACAAATGGGATAATTATTCCAGTTTCACGATGTTATATAACTGCAACTTTACAGAAAATTGCATCCAGACAACATTTTATCTGTCCAATCAGCATAACCTTTTAGCACTTATAATAACATTTTCAGAATTGAACCCAACTGTACAGCGAACCTGAGGTTGAATCAATTTCATTGTCATAACAAATCTTAATGACACTAACTCCTGAAATCAATGATCTCAGCGTGTAATGCTGCCACACACCACCTACCATCGATCGAAAGAACAATCCACCTTCTCCAAAGAAAACCACCTTACTTGACCTCTTTCCTGCTGATTAAGAATCAAATCGCTACCTAACACTCTCTCGGTCTCAATTACTAACCTCCCAAGTTTTTCAAGTCGCCCACGCTGAGCTTAGAGGTGCCCTAAAACATTCAAAGAATACTACCACGCACTCGGTGTGCAAATAATGGAAACTTTACAACCCGCTAATGCATAAATCTCAAAGCCCAGCATCATTTCCACCGTACCTAGCGGACAGACATACACATATCCCCTTTTCCTGCGACTTCCAAGCTCCTCGATGGTGCAAACCAACGGCTCTCTTCCAAATTCCTAAAGGAATGGCCCGAACTCAGCCCTCTAACAGCACAACGAAATTTTAAACAAAACCTGGAGACAATGCACTCAGACACCACGCAATGGCGACGGTTCTTCACACCGCACTCCACATGGAAGAAGCACCGATTCACCTCGCGCAAGAATACCGGCTTCGTTTCTCGGCCCCACGAAATTCCTTCACGAGCAAAATCTCTTGAACAACCGAACCGCAACTCTTGGTCGATTAGGAAACTTGCGACGTTTCGACTCGTGCCAAGGAAGCGATGGCAATCGGCGACTCGTCAGGACTTGAGCCGCATCAGCCTCCCAGATCCCCAAACGAGATATCCTAATTAGAGGACGACGTCCACATCCCTAAGCACGTCTTAACCTTTTTTTAAAAACCTCACATGGGGGTGAATCTAAACGGATGACATTTCCCGAGTCATCGTAGATGGGTTATTTGCAAGGGTTTTCGTTCATTCATTTCACACCTTAAGCCCTAACCCTAGTTCCTTAAACCCTGCGTTGTGTATGTCCCTGCTTCTCGCCTTCGGACAATGATCGCGTGTCCCATAAGCGGGTTGCGGTTGCAGCCATGAGTCGTTTGCAAGGCCGTCCCGAGGTGAGCTTGAGCATCTCAGTTATTGGATAATAATCACGTGGGACATGGTGGCTTGGGAAACGGAGATTTGGATGAGAAATTTGGGCTTGACAGGATGTTGGGGAAGATGCTCCAGTGTGGTTTTGTTATTGGTGCCGTGTGAGCTGTGTATTGTTTGTTGTAGTCATGGCAAAGACAATTTTCTCAGTGTCTTGAAAAAAAAAAAAAAATGTAAAGTGGGAAAAGATTAAGTGAGAGCGTGGAATTCTGGCGGTGGTGTCTCCCTGTTTCCTTCTGCGTGGTTAAGGTGATTTTGAGGCCAGCTTCAGTTAACTGGTAAACTTGAGCTGGAATTGACGAGCTTCTGCGTCCAACGATGTGTGGCAGGTCATCACCAATTATGTGGAGGCGGTGGGATTCTCATTTTACACTGACGCTGAAAAACATGCTATTAGTGTGAAGCAGATCAGCAGTCCCGTGCTGTTCGACAATTTGAAAAACCCTGTTGTAGGGGGACTTTACGACCCTGCGCTTGGCCCGTTGAATCAAACCTCAACGTACTTTCCTCACCGCACGACATTCTTGTGCTAAGCCTCATTTAAGGCATACACTCTGCGTTGTATTGTGATCATGGCTTTGATCACATTCTTGTTACACGATGCTTATTAACACATGCAGTTGAAGATCTCATACTTTGGCTTTGTGTTCGGATACTTACGGTGCCCTTGTTTCTTTGTGATTCAGATGTACGACCTGTCGTCAACCACAATTGCACTGCACAGGCCACTTCGGGCACATAGACCTCATACTGCCTGTTTACAATCCCTTAGTGTTCAAAGAACTCGTGAAGATCCTCAAATGGATCTGCCCTTTCTGTCATCATTTCAAAATGCACGAGCAGCGCGTAAATTCTGAACTCAATTCTAGAATCTCCTCTATGTCCATCGTGAACACTAAGCCCCAGGCTCCCGTTTTCATAATCAGTGTCTTACTGTTGAAATCTAAGTTCGATGTGTTACTGGCTAATTTGATTTGGTTGTTTCAAGTGGTTTCAGTCTTTTTGGAATTATTGTAACTCGTGAAATCTTGTCGCAGGTGGCATTATTTGCCACAAAACTAGAGTTGATCGCCGAAGGCCGAATGATTGACGCTGCCAGATTACAACTTCCAAAATCAGATGATGAGGAAGGTGTTGGTATGAATCTTTCTGATGAGGATGTTGAAACAATTGCCAACGATATACTTACAACTAAGAGTGGAAACCCCAGAACGCAATGGACTTCCACCCAACTCGCAGCTGCTCGGACTGTTATTTCTCGCTTCAAAGATGACATGCCCAAAACCAAGTGTGAGAATTGCTTGGCACACGTCCCGGTTATCAAGCAATCTGGAGTGGGAAAAATATTTCAGGTGATATTCAATAGTAAGGTGTAATGTGACTGAAGCACTCGCTTTTCAAGGTCCCAGGTTTATAATGTTGATTCTGACGTTGCGGGAACTTATCATGACGTATTTAATGTAGGAACCACTGAGCAGCAGTCATCGCTCCAACAACATCATGCGAGGAATAAGAAATACCGTGACTCTGCGTAGTCTTAGAAAAAAATCAAACTCAGATGATGAAATGGAGGATGTCGAGGAGTCTATTAATGCTATGGACATGGAGCTGGACACAGATGCAATGGAGTCTATGGGATCAGCCAAGAAAGGTAAGGGATGTAAAGTCTTAAATCCGAAGTCGAGTGGTTTCAAAGCGGAAGATCACGAGAGCTGGAGCAAGAAGAGGTTTCTAACCACGTCTGAGGTAAAGCCTACATCCTTTTTGAATATAAATGCTCTAATTGCTTGTAATCTCTCGGTGCACTTCCAGTTGGCATTTAATCTAGTGACAAAAATATGTTGCGTTATTCGTGCCTTAATGGATTTGACACACTGGTCTGTCAACGTAGGTTGTGCTCGCGGTGCTGCCTTTATTCTACTTTTGATGTCCGATTGCGGTTCTCTACTTTGCAGGTCAGAGAACACATCACCTTAACATGGCAAACTGAAAAGAGGATCTGCGCCCTTGTTTGGGGTTTGGGTGAGATTGGTGGCCGTATGGGTCTGGATAAAAGTGCGAAGTCGGATGCCTCTATGTTCTTCTTACAAACGCTTTTGGTCACACCAAACAAGTTCCGGCCACCAAATATAATGAACGGTGATGTAAGCATTTTCTATCCTTACGTCTGAGTAACGTATTGTCTTGATTGTTAGGCTGCAAATGTGAAGCTTCCCCACTTTCTGGTCCAGTGCACTATACATTCCGACGAAGGTCAAAACACACTCCACAATCCGTATCATGTGTAGTGTCTGCGACTTCTTCTGCATCAACAGAAACTTTCTTTTCTGTATCTAATAGGGTGTTAGTGTTTTGCAACGTATTTCTTGATCTACCATGGTCCGAATGCTCTAATTAGTTTATCCTCATTGTTTGATTTCTGATTTCGTAGGTTCTGGAACATCCACAAAACATATTCTATGGTCGTATCATTCGAGCCAATATTGCAGTAACAGAAGCTTCAAGGGGCAAGAAAGGCGAGGATGGTTCCAAATTGAAAGTTGACGTTGGTCAAGCTACTAGGCTATGGTTGGCCTTGCAGAATGATGTCTGTGCCCTTCTTGATAGTACCACAGGTACTTGGGACGCAATGCGCATAGTCTATTGAATCTGTGTATGTTTGTGGCTGATGGTTTGGCTTGAGGTTCTTGTTAATCATCCAATTGTTGTCACTGTGTTGGGGTTCCTTCTCGGGGTGAAACTATGTTATTTAGTTGATAGTTTATTTTGCTCTCTAGTTTCTCAGTTTTTCATGTGATGATCGGAGCTAGTGTTTTTGAAGTACTAGAGTTTGCCAGAAATGTTATTAGTCTAAAGTTTGTTCTTTTTTCGTGAATACCACTAGCAACTGGGCTGGGGAAAGATCAACAAGGTGGCGTTAGGCAACTTCTTGAGAAAAAAGAAGGGCTATTCCGCATGAACATGATGGGTAAACGTGTGAATTATGCGTGCCGGTCTGTAATTTCACCGGACCCTTACATCGCTGTGAATGAAATTGGCATTCCGCCATATTTTGCGACTCGCTTAACGTACCCAGAGGTACGTCTCATCCCCTTGTTTAAAATCTTCTGTTTTGCAAAATAGTAAAGTAAGCGTAATTATGCTATTCAGGGTCGGTAAATTTGTATATGCAGTGAGGAATTCCAACCTCAATCTTAACGTATGTGCTTTTGGTGCATATTTCATCCACACTATTAGTTTATAAACGATTGCAGCTACTTACGGAGCGTGTTCTTATGTACAGAGAGTGACGCCGTGGAATGTGCATCAAATGAGGGAGGCAGTTGAGAATGGTCCTCAGGTGCATCCTGGTGCAACTCATGTCGAAGATGAGGAGGGACGAATTATTGGGTTGGATAAACTTCCTAAACACAAGAGGACAGCATTGGCCAAAACCCTTCTTTCAACTCCTGGAATGGCAGTCAGGGGTACGAACGTTGATGGAGGCAGGTCAGTTGGAAAGACAGTGTATAGACATCTGCGGGATGGAGACGTGTTGCTTGTGAATCGTCAGGTGGGTTCAACCTTCTGACACGAACTACATACTGGTTAGATCAATTCTTAATTTTGGATTAAATTCTTTCACATCGTGAAAGAGATTTGAACAAGGTAGCACATGTCTTCTTGCATGATTCTGAAATAATTTCTATTGTGTACTGTCCTTTTCAACATTCATTATTTGATAATTATAACAATTTTCCTTTTCTTGCATAGCCCACACTGCACAAACCAGGAGTAATGGCCCACAAAGCACGAGTGCTCAAAGGAGAGAAGACTTTGCGTTTGCACTATGCCAACTGCAGGTTAGCCTAGTTGATATTCAGCACGCCTGGAATTATGTACGATTAGTGCACCAGACTGAATGTATGATTTTTTTCCCCTATGTCATGCAACATTTATTTATGCCCATCCTGCTCACCTACATTCTGTCTTGTAGGATTGCATTTAATTCAGAACTCTGGTAATGTTGGCTTGCAGTACATATAATGCAGATTTTGATGGTGATGAAATGAATGTCCATTTTCCACAAGAGGAACTAGGACGTGCAGAGGCTTATGAAATTGTGAACGCGGATCAACAGTATGTCGTCCCGACTAGTGGTGACCCTATTCGTGGACTTATTCAGGTAAATAACTATACGTACTCGCTTTTAAGATGGGGTTAGTCTTGATTATGAACAAGCAAATTCGTGCCTAATGCATCTTTTCAGTGGTCATAAATCTGAGAAATTTCCTGCTAATGTTTTTGTTATCAGGACCATATTGTCAGTGCGACCTTACTTACAAAGCGAGACACATTTTTGAGCAAAGAGGATTATCACCAGTTAGTGTACTCGGCATGTGTTTCGATGAATGCTGCTAACTTCAAGCGGAAGAACAAGAATGTTGCCCTGAGTTTAATTGATCGAGACCTTCCAATTATCCCTCTTCCTCCCGCTGTTATGAAACCTTATCCCTTATGGACTGGAAAGCAAGTAAGATCCTCACAGATATCGTTCTTTCTTGCATAGCTAGATGTTATCTGACTTCCACCCGCCTTGTGACGATATTGGGGAACAAATTAATCTTGATAAGTCATGATGGAGTTAACGAGAAATTACCACAGAACATAGAGTGAAATGTTATTTTGCTTAATTTTGCTTTTCACCTCTTGCTCATTTGAAATCCCTTGATCCTTTTGACGTGATGTTTTTTCTAAACAAACTGGAATAGTTGAGGGTTGCATCTTGTCCTCAGAATGGTAACTTTCGTAACATACAGTGAAAATGCTCATTAAGCAATCGACAATGTTGCAGGTGTTGACAACTGTTTTCAACCACATAACTCATGGGTTTCCATCTTTCACTTTGAAAGCACCGATCAAAGTTTCTGGAGATTACTGGGGCAAGACAAGCGGTGAGCTTGAACTAATTGTGAGAGACAATGAGCTTGTTTGTGGTGTTATCGACAAGGCTCAGTTTGGAAAATTCGGAATCGTTCACACTTTCCAGGAGCTTTATGGACCTGAGATGGCTGGCCGTCTATTATCTGTTTTCAGCCGACTCTTCACTGCCTACCTTCAGGTTCGCATCAAGGCTGTTAGTTCCTTGAAACGGCCCCAAGCTTTCGCCTGTGTTTTCTATTTTTTTGTTTTTTTTTTAATTCATCTCAAATGCTTTTGAGGTTTTGTAGCGTCCTTTAACATCTTTCTTTTGGCATTCGTACATTGAGTTCAGTATAATTTAACGCCAAAGTAGAAATAGAAATCAGATAGCTTCCTTTAGCATATTTGCTTCCTGTTATTCATCAGTATACAGAAATAATCCTATTATCTGTATTGTCGTTTGTTTGGTAACAGATGCATGGGTTTACTTGTGGATTCGGGGACCTTCTTTTAGTTCCTAAATCTGAGAAGTCGAGACGGAATAAGCTTAAAGAAACTGACGATCTTGGCAACAAAATCAATGCACGCTTTGTTGGCGTAGATGAAGAAGGAGGTAACTTATCCATCCATGTTCAAATTACATGTTCTAATAAGCATTTCTTTGATGCGGAAGAATTAGAGCCGCTTGTGACTACGGAGCAAGAATAACCTGCCCAGTAGCTGCTGCTGTGTCGCATGTTTTCATGTCAATCTTCTTCAGTGCGATGTTACTTAGTTCTTCTTCAACTGGTACACCAGTTGATTCTGTCTTGGCTTTAGCTGGAGCACATTCCGTTTCTAATTTTTCTTAATTAATCAGAGCTTAACATGGAGGAGATCAGAGATGAAGTGGAGAAGAGAATTCAAAGTAAAGGAGATGCTGCAAGCGCACGGCTTGACATGCTTATGACTAGTGCTCTTAACCGCATCACTTCTGATATTAATAATACAATATTCCCCAAAGGACTGATGAAGCCTTTTCCCGCTAACTGCCTGTCTCTTATGACCATCACTGGTGCTAAGGGAGGACTGGTGAGGCCCTCAACATGCTTCTCTTTGTCACTTCACTTTCTGATGGTAATCACGTTTGTTTAATCTTCTTTTTATCGTGGTCTTTGGATACTTATTTTAAACACAGGTCTTTCGTAGGTCGTGATTGTATTTAATTTTAACAGTCTCTGCTTTATACTACTTTCGCTTGTTTTAGCTTGAATTCCACATCGTTTCTGATAATTAAGTAATGTATCGTTATGATCTGGATTGCAGGTGAACTTTACACAAATCTCGTCATTGCTTGGGCAGCAGGAGCTTGAGGGTAAGCGAGTGCCTCGTATGAGTTCTGGCAAGACGTTGCCTTGTTTTCCTCCATGGGACCCAAGTGCGCGTGCAGGAGGCTTTATTGGAGATCGTTTCTTGACTGGACTTCGTCCTCAAGAGTATTATTTCCATTGTATGGCAGGCCGAGATGGGTATTGAGCAATACTTTCCACCTGCATTTTGCTTTGGGATTATATTTTTTTTTATTTTAAATTTAGCCTGTTTCACATTGCCCATGTGTACCTGATAATTTGAAATCCTCATTGTTGAAAAAGCACAAGCAAAAATTAACGTCTTCAGATAGGGTTGTTTGGGATGCCCGAGGCTCACTAAGATTGATTGGGCTTAATTTCCAGATGTAATTATTTATCGAGTTTTGTATTCATTCTTGTGGGCTGTTATGCAGATTGGTTGATACGGCTGTCAAAACTTCTCGAAGTGGTTACTTACAGAGATGTCTCATGAAAAATTTAGAGTCATTGAAAGTACATTATGATTACACTGTACGTGACTCTGATGGTTCAATAGTGCAGTTTCGGTACGGAGAAGATGGCATCGATGTCACGAAGACGAGCCATCTGTTAAAATTCGAGCTTTTGGCGACTGTAAGCTTCATGCCACCACTTTGGGTTGTTTGAAGTTCATTCGGAAATCTAATATATCCAAGCAACGAATAGAGGCCGGGAAGTGGTGTGCAATTGTAGGCACTGCTCTAGTTTGTGTAGTTATGCTATCTCATGTATGCCCACGCAACGGTATTAAAACGTTTGATAGTAATAATACGCTGAAATATTTCCTGCATTTCCTTTTGAATTTGATAAATGGATGTGTCTATTGCAGAATCAAGATCTTGTCTCATTGCGACTCGGTAAAGATCCGAACGAACGGCCTAAACGAAATAAAAAGGACAAAGTCGTAGAAAACAAAGCTGACTTTGAAGGAATGAATAACCAAGCTGAAACATTGGAAGCTGTCTCTATGGCTTTTGAAGCGAAAGTGGATGGTTTTATTGCCAATGCCACAATATCGAAGGCAGAAAGGAAGCGATTGCACCTTAGAAGTCGCAAAGATAGGGAAAATTTTAGGTATTTGATGTCACTGAAGTATGCGTCCAGTCTTGCACAACCTGGTGAACCTGTTGGATGCCTTGCTGCACAGTCAGTGGGTGAACCTTCTACTCAGATGACGTATGTAACTTTCTCTCATCCATTTCTCTTCATTTTGGACTCCGTCAGGTTACTTAGATTGAATCTTTCATGCTTACAGAGATGTTTTTTGATAGCTGCAAGTTACTTCTAATGCGGTGCTCGTTTAATGATTATTTGCTCTTGATGTTTGAACTTGGCGACCTCGAACCTGTTTTCTTGTAGTTATTCTGGGTTTCTAGTCAATTTCATGGGTGACGTATAACTTAAGCTAAATGCCTGACTTTTGACTAATTCTCAGGTTAAACACATTTCATTTTGCTGGACGAGGAGAAATGAATGTGACACTTGGTATACCTCGATTGCGAGAAATCTTAATGACTGCATCAGCTGATATTTCTACACCCATCATGACCTGCCCATTGTTGATCGGGAAAACCAGGTGAATAATCAGTTGAATACAGATATTTATCAAGTATGCCTATTGTTTTTCTTGTATTATTTTTTGGTCCAAAAGTCTTCCAGGTGTTGAAAAGTGCTGAAAGAAGTTAATGGAGTTGTTACTGTTTTTCATGTTGGTGGATGGGTTTGATGATTTTCAGGGAGGATGCCGAAAGACTCGCGATGAAGTTGAGGAAGCTGCGTTTGATAGATTTACTAGAAAATGTGGAAGTTGGTGAAGTTCCTTTTGCTGTTCAAAACGGCCAACCCTCTAAGATTTTCAAGATCCGATTGAAAGTCTATCCTCCTCACCGGTACCCGCCGCACTTGGATTTGGAGTCTGATGAGATTGAGGATGTTATTCGAGACCAGTTCATACCAAGGCTAGTGAAAGAGATGAAGAAATACTTTCAGTCCAGATCCGGGACGAGGAAGGAAAATATTATTCATGTTGTTCAACCATCCCAGTTAGGAGAAGGATCTGGAGCAGAAGCTTTTGATAACGGTATATAGTTCCTGAGCTTGTTTCTTAATCTCAAAATTTGCTTCATATTTATTATAATTTGATTTGCTACCTTGGTCGTTTATGATAGAAGAATATATGTTATCCACAAGTGAACTTTTCAGCTCTTGTTTGGTTACCTCAATAGCTTCCTTTCTTCGAAACTTATTTTTCATAGTCTTCAAGGTACATGTGGGTCGCGTATTAAAATTTTACATTCTGTTTCAGGTCCTGATGATGGAGAGGAACCGAAGGGGAGGAAGAAAGGAAAGGATGTCGAAGCAGGAGAAATGCAGGAAGATGAAGATGAGGAAGAGGGTGGTGAGGAAGAAGGTGCAGATGCTGAGAAGCGGAGAGGCCAGGACAACGATGAGAGAGGATATGATGATGATGTGGATGATGATGAGATGGAGATCGCTGAGAAAACCAAGGAAAAGGATTTGAAAGAACAGGTTCGACCTTCATGTAGCTTCTGGAATTCACTTAGTTTCGTTTGCTTTTTCTAAATGTTTGCATTAAGTAAGATTTTTGGTTTGCCACTTTCAAGAGAGGGCGTTTAACACTCGATAAGACACTTGGTGCAGGCTGTTCTTGGAGACGAAGACGATGAACAGGAAGTCGTGGAGAATATGGATAGAGATAATTTATACGACGACGAAGCTGATAGGGGTGATACCGACGTGGTGCCTCGAACACCAGATGTGAAGAAGAGAGATTCTGCTTCAAAGATAAGATCCACTTCCAAGAGCCAGGGGCCGCAGAAGGAGGTCGATGGGGCAGATTCTTTGACTATTAATGGGAATGTGTTCGAGATGAAGTTTACAGTGAAACTGTCCACTCCTCATATTATACTGGCTGAGGTAATTTTTTGTCTGTTTGTATTATTCAGCTACAACATTGGGATTTAATGTTTCTTGTTCCTAATGAAATGCTTGGGTGATGGAATCTGCGTCGTGGTTACGTAAACGAACATATGAACGAAGGGATGTAGACAGAGTATCAGAAAATGAAGTGTTCCAACTGGTGGTGTGTTTTTGTAGGTTGTGGAGAAGGTGGCATCCCAGGTTTCTGTGCGAGCTGTGGCTGGCATCGAGAAATGTGCTGTGATCGATTACAAGGGAGATTCCTCTAATCCTGCATTGCAGACAGACGGCGTCAATTTTGAGGGGATATGGACACTCTCTGATGATCTAGATCTCAACCGGCTGACCACCAATAATGTGGCCTCTATGCTCAAGGTGACCACTTTCGTAATCACTTACTGTGATTATTCGGTAGCAACCAAAATTGTTGATGCATGATAACACCAATTTTAGCGATTTCCTGATGTTTTCTACGTCGTGGTTCATTCATTTAGCGATATCTAAAATCATCACAGTTTATTCTAAATCATCGTGACTTTACTGGTATCTGCAGGTCTATGGAGTAGAGGCGTGTCGAGCTACGATCCTCTCTGAAGTACAGGCTGTTTTTGGATCATATGGAATTTCTGTAAACCCTAGGCACTTGGCATTGATTGCTGATTTCATGACGTTCCAAGGCGGATATCGGGCTTGCAATAGGTTGGGTATTAACTCAAGCCCGTCGCCGTTCCTTAAAATGAGCTTCGAAACAGCCACTGTGTTTCTTATGGACGCAACCCTGCAGAAGCATTCAGATTACTTGGAGTCACCCTCTGCAAGGATTGTTATGGGGAGAATTGTTGAGATGGGTACTGGTTCCTTCGACCTTCTGCAGAATATTGATGGTATGATTGCACCACAAGCTTAAGGCGAGCGAGATCAACCTGTTCTGGACTCGTCACATTTCCTTGCCTTCGGTGCCTGTCTCGCAGTGCGGACTCTATCGTGTTCGGATGCGACACTGCTAGTTGTACAAGGCGTGGGCAGTTCATGAGAACCAGTTGGTATAGAAGTCCCTTTGTTACTTCTGTTCTCATGAAGCTGAGAAAAGAGCGTTTGCAATCCATGCAACATATGTGCAACCGGCTGACCAGTAAAAGCGGATACAGGTCTCTTCCTTCGTCGAGATTAGGTGATACTCCTATTTGAGAAGATTATATTCAAAGTTCAGCTGCCATGTCAAAGACCTTAACTGCTGGTCTTCTGATTTTATGATGAGAGAGAGAGTTTCTGAAAATTTCACGATCGAGCCGGAGTGCCAACCGTGGAACGCTGTAGAGTGGTTTAGATTGTAGAATTGTAGCTTAAAGAAAGCGTTAGGCATGATAAAGTCGAACTGCAGTTTTTGCGACTTCGAAGGATCCAATGCTGATTCAGAAGTCGTAGTTCATGTGTATTTCTGTCTTCCGTCTACACATCATTATAAAGGTGTTAACATTGGATAATTTACAGGACCAGTTTGAGTCTTAAACCTTCGAAGTCACTCTAGTCGCAGTTTTGGTGGGTCTCGTTGGATTGATTTGAAGGGTTTTGTTTTGTAATCACATTCTCTACAGAAGAGTTGAGATGGTTGATTCTTTTCAGAGGACGGATGGAAACAGCGGTTGTTACTACTGGTTAATGTAAATTTTGTTGCAAATTATAATCAATCGAGAGCTTTCTCATTCACAAAAAGGTCTAAAAGTACATAGTGTTTTACTCCAGCCGCATTAGCGTGGTAATTAAATTTTATCCTAATCCTAATTTCAATTAAGGGTGACTTGGAGCAATGAGCATGACATGGATAAATGATGATTCACAAGGATGAGATGGCATTGGGGCTGATGTAGACGACGTTACATAGTTGAAGTGACATGGAGCAAACGAGGGGGCTCAGCGGTGTAGTGCCATTGTGTGAAGCAAAAGGGAAACTCGCATTCATTTGAAGTTGGCACAAAGCGAGTTTTCATGTCTTGATTGATGCTAGTTGGGGTTCGCCAACACCTCCACTCCAACTTGCATCAATAATTAATTCTATTAATGGTGCGTTTTAGTTTTGTCCCCCATGAGGCTTTCGAGCAGGTCAAGTATATGGTTGGAGACTTGCCGCTGATGAAATGTTGGTCATCTTTTGTTTTTGTTGAGAATGTTTAGAAAAACACAAGAGTAGTAGTTAGTAATACACACACAAGAGTAGTAGTAAGTCATACACATAAGAGGGTTTCTAAGGATAGAGAGCTTTACACATAAAAATCTATTGATCTGGTTGTGTCTTGTATACAAGAAGAGAAAGGGGAGAGGATAAACAATTCTTCTCGACTAGACTCTAAATATTGTAGCTATGGTATTTACTGTAGTCTACGGTAAATACTATGGAGAGCGTCAGGTACATTTAATGCTCTCAACGCTCCTCCTTGCTCATCATAATATTTACATAATATAAAATTTGTATAGAATTATGATCTATACTTTTCTATGATCTTATAAGATCAACAATTGTTGCCTCATTAAAACCTTATCTAGGAAAATCTTATTGTATTTAAGGACAAAACCATAGATGACGGAAAAAGAGTACAACATCATTTTTTTTAATTATTTAAAGAGCTCATTAACTTTCTTATTCAAGAAAAGCAAGTCACCGCATACCAATGCCATAAGTAAGTCGACGATGGTTGCACAATGGGAGAGCTTTGGTGAAGAGATCAGCAAGGTTATTTGTAGATTCAATTTTCTTAATTATAAGTGCTTAATCAATAATCAATTCATAGGTATAACTAAAATACTTAGGATCAATATGCTTTGCCATGTAGCCTTTAATGAAACCAACTTGCATCTGTGCAATACAAGCAGTATTATCTTTATGTAAGATAGTTGAAGAATCATCATATGAAAATCCAAAGGTTGTTTGAATGAATTTATCAATTGATCGCAACCAAATACATTCTCAAGATGCTTCATGTAAGACAATAATTTTTGCATGGTTGGATGAAGTTGCAGTTATTGTTTGTTTCACTGATTTCTATGATATTGCATCTCCATGTCTTAAAAATACATATCGTATTTGAAATTAAGCTGTTGCAGTATCAGATTTATATCTTCCATCACAATATCTAACCAATTTTGGATCTGCAGATTGTGTGTAGTATAATCCCAAGTCTTTAGTACTTTTTAAATAACGTAATAAATGTTTGATGCCATTCCAATGTTGTAGTATTGGACGTGCACTATGTCTTGCAAGAACACTAAATACAAATGTGATATTTGATCTTGTAGATATAGCTAAATATAAAAGTGCTCCAACCGCTGCGAGGTATGGATATTGATCTCCTAATATTTCTTCCTCCTCCTCACATGGATGGTATGGATTATGACCATCATGACCACGTCCAACCATTGGTGTGGACAATGGATAAGCATCAATCATATTAAATCTTTGCAAGATTCGTCAATTATACGTTAGTTGGCAGAAAAAAATGCTACCATCTGTTAGATGAATAATCTAAAGACCAATGCAGAAAGTTATTTTTCCTACCATTTTCATCTCAAATTCACGAATAAGAAGGTTAGTAGCTGTAACACATACAAATGTAGTACCCACTAGTTTAAGTTCATCAACATATAGAGTAATGATCACAAAACTAGTTTTATCTCATTTCATAAACAAATAAGGGATTAGTGGATCACTTACAAACTTATTTGTAATTAAATAATCTCAAAGACGTTGATACCACATGTGTCCGGATTGTCTTAAACCATACAAGGCCTTACATAATTTAATACTATGATATTGTCCTAAAGTGGGTCTATTTGAAGTTCATATTTCTAAACCAGGTGGAACTTTCATATAAATATTTGCATCAAGAGAACCATATAGATATGCAATTACTACATCCATCAGATGCATCTTAAGGGTAGCATGAACTATCATTCCAATAATATATCGAAATGTAATTGAATCCATGATTGGAGAATATGTGGATTCATAATCAATGCCAAATCTATGAGTAAATCCTTGAGCAACAAGACGAGCTTTATAGTGGATTATTTGACCTTGAGCATCTTGCTTGTGTATTAATACCATCTTATATCCTATAGGGCGAGATGTAAAAGTGTCTACAATTGGACCAAAGACTTTTCTCTTATGCAAAGAGGCATATTCCTCCTCAATAGCAGTTTTTTATTTTGACCAATCAAAGCAACGCATTGCGTCTTCAATGGTTTGAGATTCAAGATCGTCTTCCTCACAAGAAAGAGCTTCTATAATCATATATGCAAATGATTCATCTACCATAATAGATGGTCTGTCACAAATATCACCTGTAGTACAATACAGAATAGATAATTCTTTACTCAACTTATTCTTATTTCTTCCAATTCCAAGATTGTTTTTCATAAGAATTGAAGGTACATTATGCATGGATATATCATCATAAATTATTAGTCCCGCAAGATGAGTGGCAATTTCTTGAAAAATAATACTAAGATCAGTCAATATTATACCTTTCTTCTTATATGGTTGCTTATGTGGTCTACGAGTTCTTTTAGTTGTTGTTATAACTTGAGGTATTGTAGTCAATGGCACTGCAATCTGAGTAGGTGCATTTTGAGCCTCATTAATAGGAACTCTTGTAATTCTAGGTGCATCATTGAAGCCATGAGGTGTTTCATCTGTGATCCGTTTTAGATACAAAATCTTAGCAACTTTAGTTTCTGCCAAAGATGTCCTAAGATTGGGATTCATTCTAAATGTTTCTGGTGCTTCAAATACAAGTACTTTATTTCTTTGTTGATTAGATACTCCTCTTTGAAGAGATGGAAATACATTTTCTTCAAAATGGCAATTTTGCAAACGTGCACGTAATAATGTGCAAGTTGATCGATCAACAATACAAATAATACTTGGTGAATCAAAACCAACATATATGCCTTCTTGTCGATGAGCTCCAATGGTACGCCATTGAGGTTTTGGTAGCTTTATAAATGACTCTGCAAGTCCATTTTGAGCATATTCATATAGAACACAATATATCAACTCAATTTTTGTTGCAATACAATAGTTTTCAAAAGAATTTGATGCGAATTCTTTTGCATTATCCATACGCAATATTTTTATAGGATAATTAAGAAAATATGCTTGAAAATGAATAAGTATAGATATAAGATTGATAAACACCATATTTCTAGTTGATAATAATGAAACATGTGATTGTTTACTTAATGCATCAACAAGGACCAAAAAATAACAAAATGGTCCAGATATTGGATTAATAGGACCACAAATATCACCATGCAATCTTTCAAGAATTGGTGGTAATTCTTGTGGGAGTTTCTAAATTAAAGGCCGAGTAATTATTTTACCTTGTATGCATGCACGATGTAATTCCATAGAGTCTACATCTGTAGGCTTTAAATTATGTCCAATTATACATGGAATGATCTTTCTAAATAATGTAGATCCTAGATATCCCAATTTTCCATGCTAGAGAGAAATATGATTCTCTGTGATAGATGATGCAAAGTTAAATATAATTGGAGGCCGAATTAGAATTCAATATAAACCATTTTTTGTAGCAAAAGTTTTTTCAACAACTTTATAGTTCTTTGCAAGAATCAAAACCTCTTTTCTATTTAAAATGGCGATCGAGAGGTGATAACCATTAATACGCACATCTCGGTGTCTAATCAGACTCCGAGGTACTGAGGGGTACAAACATTACATGTTTATATTTAATGATGGAACGTGCAAGTAATTTTACCATTGTTGTGCCCTCTTGGAAATAAAATGCATTTGCTCCAACCATGGTCATCATATTTTTAGTTTGCCAAGTTGAAGATTTTTTAATAAAAAATCGTCTATCTTGCAAGATAGTATGTGTTGTTGTAGAATCAATGAGCGTATCATTTGATTCATCATTAGAGGTTTTATCATTCATATAAGCGTCTAAGTCATTAACACCAATTGAATCCATTGATGTATCCATGGTATGAACATTTTACTATTGAAATCATTTAAATTTGGAAAATCCAAGACATGTAAATATTTCTAATTATGATGTGTATGTGGAAGGAAAATGGTCTATTGATGATCAAACCTGGATTTAAGATTCTTTCAAAGTTTTACAAGATCTTCCATTTCTAAATATTGATGTTGTAATACAAGTAAAAGATAACAACGAAGGAGAAAAAGTGCTTTCTAACAAATAGTAGGAGGAATAGAAATACTTATTATAGGAGATTCTTCAAACATAATGGCATCCGAGAATTGTTTTGTAAATAAATTTATTTTTTCTATTTTTTTTGATAATAGATAATTATTTCCATGCACAGTCAATGATAGAAATAAAAGAGCTTGAAAATATTGGAATGCTTTAATAATAGTTAGAACCATAGTAGAAACAATTGAAGATGTTATAGCACTCATTATAAATAAATCTGTAAAGAAAATACAAGATCAAGAAGAAAAGTTGAGTAAAATGTACCTTAAAATATAAA